TATCCATAACCAATAAGTTCTGTTTAAAACTTTATTTTTGTGATCTTTGCAGGCAACTCAGCTAATCAAGCAATTGATCTACTAATACAGAAGGGTGTTCCAGAATCGCACATTATATTCCTCAACTTGATCTCTGTGAGTTATTTTATGCCATCCAAATTGGTTAAAACTAATTAAAATGTTTGCAACTGCCAACACTGATGTCAGTATAACTCCTTTCGAGTCCAGGCTCCCGAGGGGATTCACTGTGTTTGCAAACGATTCCCATCCTTGAAAATTGTCACTTCTGAGATCGATGCTGGATTGAACGAAGAATATCGTGTCATACCTGGTATGGGTGAGTTTGGTGATCGTTACTTCGGAACTGACGACTAATTATACAGATAGCTGGTTGATAGGGAGCCTGGGTTGATAATAAGTTTGTTTAAGATCTGACCTACAAACAAAGACTAGCCGTTCTTGAACCACCAAAGCTTCACTATCTCCATTAGTAATGCCGTGTTGATTTTTCCATCTTGTCTCTGATTCCTAGACCTTCCTCTCTATTGAGCTTGTTTCAAGTTACATTGACATAATGTGCCTATGAAGGACGGTTTGTCGTATTAATTTGCTTGTCGATTCACCATACATCTTATGTCATCCAGATCGACCAGGTCCGTGTGATTTATTTTTAAAATTTAAAATAAATGTTCATCGATATATTTAAATGAAGTAGTAACTCAAGCTAACCATCTCTTCCTGCCATTAGAGCTCTGTCATAGCTATTGCCACCGCTCGGGCAAGTCATAGGCGACTGGGAGAACAATGCTTCATGGTTTTCTGCAGGTGCGCCATCCATTACTTGTAAGTTCTTCACCAGTCTTGGAGTATATGATTTTTCATTCGATAGTTGCAAATTAGTTGAATTGTTTAATTTCTTTTGCTTATAATTTTGTTCGTCATGCTCGTATTAAAACTTAGATTCAACCCCACCTTCAATTGCTTTTACAAAGAAAAAAAAAAAAAAAAACATATATTCATACAGCTCTTTAGTATTGCGTTAATTTAAACATTAATTTGACAACATAGGGTAGGATCATCAACCATATGACAACTTTTTGTTTATTAATTATTGATAGAGGAGGGAAAAAAGAACTAGCTGTAATAGCTAAGAAGGTAAGTGGAAAGTTGGAGCTGAATTATTTAATTCAAGATATAATATTGGGATAAGATTTTAAGTTTTAATTTAGAAAATGATAGTTATGTTTTTGGTCTGGAAAAGATAGTAGTATCTTAATTAATTTATTTTTAAAATTTAAACTCGTGTCATTTTTCAACTTTAATTTTAAAAATGCTTGCAAGTTTATTCCGCAAATAAATTCTTTTTTATTATAACTTTTATTTATTTATTTATTAAAATATGGTTGTTTATAATGCAAATTTACTTTTATTTATTTAAATTTGAGCGTTTAGATTGTGAATCTCTCTTTACTATTTTCAATTGCAATTCTGCCGATAATTTTTTTTCCAAACAAATATAAATAGTATAACATGTTTGTAGCAACCCGTTAAAAATATATATATATTTATTTGGAAGGTTTAAATCTCATTTACATTTTCAAAAAAAATTTAAACTTTCTTTTCCACAAATGTTCATATTTGTTTTATTTTGTTAATAATTCTGTCTAACATATAAAAGTTAAACATTTAATTAATTGTTTAATAATGTTTATTGAAATAGATTAGGATTAAAAATAGTAACTGTACTTTAACTTTTAAGATAAAATAATTATTAAACATTGTTTGTTAAAAATTTAAATATTATTAAATACAATTATAAAAGTTTAAACTTTTTCTATCCCTATTTCCACCTCATTTTTTATTCGCATTCTTTTGAAATTTCTTATCTTATTTATTTTTATAGAGATGAGAGAAGGATTTTTTCAAAGATAAAAAGGAAATTATAATTTTCATTTTACAATATCATTCTTATTTTTTAGAAAAATGTATAAAAAAAATCTAATACACAGACAAACATAATGCATTACCACCATAATTAACCTCAAAATCTATTGTTTTGACCTCGTGGGAGACAGAGAATAGAATCCCGTCCTTGAGCCCACCGGCCTGGCAGGGCAAAGGAACATCTCCATACTTAAACTATGATACTATTTTTTTTAAAAAAAATTATTATATATATATACTTAGAATTAGGTAAACATTTTTGTAAAAAGAAAATTCATGTTGTTCAAACATGACTACCAGACCGACGAGACCGAATCGGTATGGGCAGACAGAGCACAAATACGACAGGATTTGACTAAAAGGAAAGTAGGTCATGTTTGGATTCGGGTTTAATTTCACGCACACCGTGGAAAAATGGAGTTCTTGACTAGAATACGATCACAAACACGTGATATTGTGGACCCGTAACCAATCGCCCACCAATCAGAACCTAACACTGCTAAATAAAGTGGACTCTAAAACGACCCTCCGTCCTGAATTTCTCAATTTTTGTTGCGTTTTCAACTTTAGTTCTTCCATTGCCATATTAGTCGATGCTCCACACAGCCGTTTTGACTCTCTCTCTCTCTACTTTTCTTTTTATTTTATTTGGCATCCTTTTATTACTTTAAAAAATATTCTTTACGATATGGTAAATATTTGGAGCATATCTGTGAGATCTCATATTTTGTTGGAGAGGAGAACGAAACATTATTTAGTAATGGAGATAAGTGCCAGTAAGGACGTCGGGCCCCAAAGGGGTGGATTATGATCCTACCGTTCCGACTCTTAAATATAGATTAATTATCCGACTCTTAAATACCGTCTTCTTCTTCTTCTTCTTCTAATCCTACCATTCCGACTCTTAAATATAGATTAATTATCGTCTCCTCTATTTTTCACACATTATAAAGGGAATTCCTTAAATTAAAAAACAAGGTGGAGATATAAGATAAAGGAATATGAATAATAAAAGATTCCTATGGCAGGGATAAGGCAGGGGGAGGAGTACTATACAGATGTGGACTTGTGAGAAAGAGCTGGATAAATTACGATGAACTCCCTACTCATACGAGGAGACCAGGACAAAAATTTAGGGTTAAATTCGGCACTGACAAAAGAATAAATTAACGGCTGAAAATTGCTAGCTGTGTTTAGTTTTCTTGCTTCTGATTGGTCAGTTATGGACACGATGGCGAAAGGTAAAACAAACGGAGGGGTCCATCAGACGTGGCTCCTCCTCAGCCTTGTATTCAACTAATTCTGTACACGTGGACCAATGACGTTATATCCATTAATTCTTCATTTAATAAATATTATATATTTAAATCATACTTCACTCATTTTTACTAATTTACCCATTACTTACTTTTATTTATTTATTTATTTATTTATCATATTTAATAGTTTTAAATTTCTTTTATTTTATATATGATGAATCTCTCACTTTTAATTTATATTTAATTCATGGTTGTCTTATTTCATATTTTTTTAAAAGATTTATTATGTATAAAATTATTAAATATTTTACAAAGTTTGTTATAATTTTTAATTATGTCGTCCGAATGCAGCCATTTTGGAAAATGGTCTAAAAACTATAAAACGACAAAATAATTATTGCAGCCTTTTAATAATATTATTTCCTATTTTAAAATAGAAGCAATTCGAATAATGTCAGAAATTAATAAAATTTTATGGAAATTTTATTATATTCGTTGTGTTATTATGGTGGGTGAGTTTGTCATCCAACCCTTTTAATTATTAGGACTAAATACAAAAAAATATATTAAAATGTACGAAATAAGTTGAAATAATAAAATTAAAAAATAACGATCTATTCTTTTTTTATGGTTAGAAATTGTTCTAAAAATTTAATATTTACTCGACGCTAAGATTATAATATATAAATGAAATGAGGCAAAATTAAAGTATATAAACTTTATAGGTACATTAGAGGAATTATGCTCACTTTCACTGAAATTTAAAAGATTATAATAATAAAGAGTAAGAAAAAAAATATTAAATAAATAAACGCATGGATAGTTCCGTTACTTGATCTCCAATCTATTTGGCATGTGTAAAGTCGAAAATAACCCTATAGGCAGTTGTGCGTGTTGAGTCGCACGTGAGAAACTAAATTAAAAAAAAAATGCAACGCGATAGAGTTGGAATCACGTGATAAGAATTCCTTCCGGCTTTGACATTAAGCCACCTACGTTTATAGAGAATAAAATTTATTATTTATTATTTATTATTATTTATAGTAAAACAAATGCATTGTGTTGGTCCAATTTGAATCTCAAATTAAAAAAATAAGTTAGTTTTCATTTTTAATTTGATATTTATTTTCTTTAAATTAAATCTATAAAATTTATTTTCCCGTTTAATTTTCAATTTAGAATAGTTTAATATATTATGATGTTTTAATTTTATGTCTAATAAATATTTAAAATTTAAAAATAATTCAAGAAATTTTTTTTATATAATTTACAATTTTTTTCTTTATGTTCAAAATATATTTTATTAATTAAGCGGCTCAAATTTATTGGTTTTTTGAAGACAATACTCTTGATTTGCAAGTTGCCATAAAGTTATTTTATTTTTATTATTATTACATTTAGCCTATTATCTGCAAATCCAGGCTGTATAAATCTTTTCCCCTATCCTTCTCATTATTTTCTGTTTTTTTTTCCTTAAAAATCCCTTTTTCTGTTTAATTTTTCAAGTCAAATTATAACAACAAATATTTGTATTGTCTTTATAATATTTATTTAATAATTTATTTTTTAAAGAGGGTAGAAACATAAGAGAGAGAGATTTTTTAAAGCTTCGAGAATTAAATTAAAATTTAAATCAAATTTCAATAATATTTTTTTAAATCCAGAGAAAAGGGCTGCGCTGTCATTTCACAGAGCTAAGTTATGGAATTAAGGGATGAGAGAATATAGGGCAAAACCGTAATAAATCCCAAACCGCGTGGTTTTTCCGCTATGGTCTGCTATATAAGTTCCTCTTCGCTATTGAAGACCTCACAGAAACGCAAACGGTTTGCGGCCCCTCGAATTCTCATCGTTTCTCTCTCTCTATCGAATTTTGTTTCCTTTCGCTCTCTGCCCTTGCTTGCAAGTTTATTTTAGGGATTCTTCCGGTTTCGTTCTCCGCCGCTAATTCTTTTCATCGGTAAGGTTGTTGTTTGCGTTTGATTTGTTTGTGATCTCTTTTGGCCTATCATTTATTTTGTTCATTCTCTGTGTAATTCTGGATTTTTGGATTTCTTTTTTCTGATTCCAATTTCGTTTGGATATTAGGGTTTGGTTGAAGAAGGTAAAAAGTAAAGGATTTCTCGGTGTTAACTGTTGCGCCGGATTTTAACATTTGTATTCATTGGTACGTTCTGTCTCTCTCTTCCAAATGTGATGTTTTTTTTCTTTTTTTTTTCTTTTGATGATGTTTATAATGATTGATTCCGACTTCAGTCTTTGATTTCTGGGAATATAATCAAATCTTTGCTTGTAATTTGTATTTGTTTATGTACAGCCCTTTTACTTGTTCTTGATTTCGATTTGTATTCGTTTTCCGTTGTTTGAAGGTTTCTTCGTGTTGTATATCCGATTGCTCAATCGATTTCAGAAAATGTTGAAAGAAAAGCCCTTTTTTATTTGGCGTAAATTATTTGGTTTCTAGGGTATTCTTTTTCTCTTTCTGCAACTTTTTGGGAGTCGTCTTTGGTGGCGATTGCATGGCGAAGATAACGAGGGCTACGGTTAAAAAATGGATACTTTTTTCGGAATAAAGAAAGAAAGGACTCCAGTTTTGCTTTTAATAATGGATCAATAATAGAAAGGAATTTCACTCAATTTTTCTTGCCCGGGGTTTGTTGAACATTTTGCTTTTTAAATTGTTTACTTCTGCTTTTCATAAAGCAGTATTTTCCATGATTGTAGATGTGTACTCTATTGTTTTTATTTATTTAACTTTTTCCTTGAAAACTATGTTTGCCTTAACAATGATTCTTTGATTGTCTCCTTCGTTGGCTTTTGATACTACTGTGTTCTTCATTTAGATTGCCTTTGTTTTTTTTTAAAAAAACGAATCCAACTTATTTCCTTATGCTCTGTTAGTGAATCAGTGTTCTGTCTATGAACTGTGTTGAGTGTTCTTTTATACAGTCATCTTCTCTTTAAGGTTGGGAGTTCTCTGATTTCATTTTTGTGTGTGATCTTTTGGCAGCGAATGATTTAATGGAGTCAAAAGGTGGTAAGAAGAAGTCTAGTAGTAGTAGTAGTAGTAGTAGTAAATCCCTGTTCTACGAAGCTCCCCTCGGATACAGCATTGAAGACGTTAGACCACACGGTGGAATCAAGAAGTTCAGATCTGCTGCCTACTCCAACGTACGTTCCTACTTTCTACACTGCCGTGTTTTTTTTTTAATTCTAGTCTATCATCAATGGGCTGGCTGGTAACTGATCTTTTCTTCTTCTGCAGTGCGTTCGTAAGCCATCCTGAGTTTTGCTGAATCCCGTTTGACCTGCGCCCCGAGATCCTTAGTTTTCTATTATTTTTGCTGTGTCTTTTTTCTTTAGTACTCTCTACTTTCCTCGTTCTCTCGTTCAATCTCTCAACATTATTACCTTCCTTTTAAGAAAAGATGACGTTTCCAACCTCTGCAATCGGATTTGAAGGCTATGAAAAGAGGCTTGAAGTATCATTCTTTGAGCCTGGCATTTTTGCCGACCCAAGGGGCATGGGCCTTCGTGCTTTGTCCAAGGCACAACTAGATGAAATTCTGACATTAGCTGAGTGTACCATTGTTGACTCTTTGTCCAATGACTATCTTGATTCATATGTCCTTTCGGAGTCGAGCCTCTTTGTATACCCATACAAGTTCATCATCAAAACTTGCGGCACTACTAAGCTGCTTCTGTCTATTCCGGCTCTGATAAAGTTGGCTGATTCCCTATCCCTTCATGTGAAATCTGTGAGGTACACTCGTGGGAGCTTTATCTTTCCTGGTGCCCAGTCTTTTCCCCATCGCAGCTTCTCTGAGGAAGTTGGTGTGCTTGATGGCTATTTGACCAAGCTTGGCCTCCGTGGCTCTGCATATGTGATGGGAAGTCCTGATGAGACAAGGAAATGGCACGTTTACTCTGCCTGTGCCAAAATGGGTAGCCGAAGCAACAATCCTCCCGTCTATACTCTGGAGATGTGCATGACTGGCTTAGACAAGGAGAAGGCGTCTGTCTTCTTCAAAACAGACACAAGTTCTGCTGCTACAATGACTGAAAACTCCGGTATCAGGAAGATCCTTCCGAAATCTGAAATATGTGACTTCGAGTTCGACCCATGTGGGTATTCCATGAATGCCATTGAAGGAGATGCAGAGTCTACCATCCATGTAACTCCAGAAGAAGGGTTTAGCTATGCAAGCTTTGAAGCAGCAGGTTATGAATTGGACGACGTGGACCTGTGTAAGCTGATTGGGAGGGTGCTGGCATGCTTCCAGCCATCTGATTTCTCTGTTGCCCTCCACTCAGATGTCGTGGGTGAGAATCTGAAAGATTTACTGTGCCTGGATCTGAAGGGGTACGAGGGTGGAGAGAAGAGCTGTGAAATGCTCGAGGAAAATGGATCCGTCATCTATCAGAGCTTTAAGAATAGAGGAGATTATGCGTCATCTCCAAGGTCAATCCTCATGAAATGCTGTTGGAGAGAGGACGAGGCGGACGAGGAAGTTGGGAAGTAGTAGTAGTAGTAGTTACGTTGTTTCAACTTTTGCTGCGTTTTATCTTTTAATTACTATAGTATCTTCGGGGTAGTCGTGTTCTGTTCTGTTGTGCTCTGTTCTGTTGTTTCCTTTTGCGAATAATAATAATTCCCAGGTGGGGATTGTGTAGGCTGTCGTCGTGTCCTGGAGAGTCTACTTATGTCATTATGATCATCAAACTATATAATGATAATATCGTATTTCCTTATTTTATTAATGGTGGCTTCGGTTTCTGCCCATTTTTTCACTTTTGAAGACCCATTATTTACAAATAAGCTATTTTGTTGTCACAATATAGCCTCCCATTTTTTCTATTATAGCAATGACTCAATGGGAAGCTAATACTCAAAAAGTGCTTTGAAAGGTGGTCATAATTTTCATTGCTCTATGGATTTGATTCAAAATTTAAACAAATTAGAATTTGAATCCATAATATTACAATTCTCATAATTAGTTCATAATTCAATTAAAAATATCATTTTTTTTTAATTTATTTTAAATATTTATTATTATGGAAGATCATGGGATTCCAGGGTTTTTTTCGAAGGTGAATTTTGGGCCCAACTAATCCTTTGGTATGGGCTTGGGCCTTACTAAACTGAATTGGTTTTGAAATTGTTTGTCCGACCCGACCCGACCCGACCCGTCTTATCTTCAACTTCAAGCTTATTTCTGTAGAAGAGCATAGTTCGGCTTCGTCTTCCTCTTGAATTCTCTCTATCTCGAAAGACGGTGGCTATGATGTTATCCATGGCTGTTCAGCTCCAGCCCAACGTCAATTTCTGTCTTAATACCTCCACTTTCTCTTCCCACAACGCCACTTCTAAACCCCATCAAGTCCCTTTTGCTTTGAAGCAAAGAACCAACGCTCTCTCCTCTCCCTCATCTTCGATTTCTTCCTGCATTGCCGACGTCTATTCTGTTTCTGGATTGAAGTTGAGGCGCCAAAGCTTCAAAACCCTCCAAGTCTCTGCTTCTGCTGCGGCCGCTGACGCTGTTCAAGCTGATTCAGAATCGCCTGTTGCTGATGATTCCCTTTCAGAGTCCTCGCCTGATAAGGAGGTCTCTCTCTCTCTCTCTCTCTCTCTCTCTCTCTCATATGCTTGTTCCGTTAATTTTCAGACCCAATTACTTACTATGTGGCTATGAATTGTTCATTATATTTTGGTCATCGAGTAGCATTATTATCTATGCAGCAAGTTTTCAAATTTTACTTGAATTTTGAAAGCTATGAAACACATGTGTAGGGAGTAGAGTTTCTAAACTTAATTTTTAGAACAAAAAAATCAGCAACTATCTAAATGGTAATCAAATGAGGCTTAACATTTCGTGAGTAACATTGAAGATAAGTTCTGATGAGAATGTTGATGTCGATTTCCATGAATACCTGAAAGATAAAGAAATATGAAATGAACATATGGAAGAAGAACAGTTATCACTCTGTCGTACGATGTTTGAGGTAAAGTTAACATTTAAATGTTGGTTTCATTAAATTGAACCTTAAAATTGTATAAATAATGAATTAATACCTCTTGCTGGTCGAATTTCTATTTCTTTTAGGTTTTTGGTTAGATGTTTGGGATGAATTGTGATGGAAATTGGGATGTGGTTACTTTTGTGAATGCTCATTTTTATGGTTGTCTTGAGCATTAGTTTATGGTTGGATCTTGATGTTTTAGTGTTGAATTCGAGTACATTTTTATGGTTGTTTGATTTTATAGTATCCTTTTGCTTATTTAAATGAAATGTCGTGCAAAATAGATTTATCAGGAAGGCCTCGTTTCACAGATTAAACATTCATTGTTTTTTCGATGTTGTAGAAACTTGGAGTGGTTGTGAAACCAATGGAAAAGCCACGGCTTGTTCTGAAGTTCATATGGATGGAGAAGAACATTGGCATTGGACTTGATCAGATGATTCCTGGTCATGGAACTATTCCTCTTAGCCCGTACTACTTCTGGCCTAGGAAAGATGCATGGGAAGAGCTCAAAGTTTTACTTGAGAGCAAGCCCTGGATTTCTCAAAAGCAGATGATTATCCTTCTAAATCAGGCAACTGACATCATCAATTTGTGGCAGCAGGGTGGAGGCAGCCTGGCTTAATCTCAAATGTAAAAAGTTTCGGAAATTTTTTGATAGTGTGCTCTTAGATTGTGACTATTCTTGAATCCTACGGCTGTTTTGATGTCCTTTCTCGTATGTTATGAAGTAATATTATAATCTATGAATGACTCTTTTATTGTATATTTTGTTGGTTATGTAAGCCATCTGCAATTCTCATTTCCCATCGAAAAGTTTGTTCATAGTGAATGTGCAAACCTGTTGTTTTATGCATAGCTGTAGTGAGATATTTATCGTAGTTTTAACAAGTCTGGGTCGATGAAGCTTGATGTTGGGCAACATGGATTTTGTCAGTATAAGGTTTGAGTTTCACTAACTTGAATATTACTCAGCTAGTTGAGATGTTCACAAAAATGTCGATTTACTTCTTATCCTAGCATTAGTTACTATGAGATCCCATATCGGTGGGAGAGGGGAACGAAACCTTCTTTACAAGAGTGTAGAAACCTTTCCCTACCAGACATGTTTTAAAACCTTGATGAGAAATCCAGAAGGAAAAGCCCGAAGAGGACAATATGTGCTAGCGGTGGGCTTGGGCTGTTACGGTTACACTCTTACACAGGTACTCAAAAAGAAATCTTGAAACAATAATGAAGTTTACAGGTCTAGTCTAGCAAAATTAGAAGCTATTGTTTGTATGCTGGGTTCATGAGTTTCACCTCATGTTTGCTTCCAATATAGATGTGACCAGCCTGGATTTCAGCAAAATCCCCTTGAAATTTACTTCAATGCATGAGCTCTGATATCCTCATCTGAAATTTCACTTTTACTGGCAAACTCTTCTTTACTGATTACCCTGTCATTTCCTGGTTCATTGTGGAAGATTGTATTTGAATTTGAATTTGATGATCTCTCCTTGAGATTGCTAATATCTGAATCCAAATTTGGAACAGATGACATATTTTCTTTGGCAGGTTCTGCTGGTGATTCTTCTTGATTCCTTTCTTTTATGTATTTATATTCTGAACTGCAGCTTTCAAGTTCAACAAGATGAGTATTTTCAAAACTAAAATCGTCTGAATGGTCAATCTTACTGGAAGGTATGCTAGCTTCTTCTGCATTAAGCTTGGATTTGTGAGAACTATCCATATTTGAGGCTTTTTCATTTTTGTGAAAATAAGACCCATCTTCATGATCTATATCGATATCCTGTGATTTAGACCTCGAAAACTCGATTTCAGCTTTTGTTGCTTGGAAGGCGTCTTGAGCTGCACTAGCTACGTCTTTAAACTTCTTTTCTCTCACTAATTCTGATACTGATTCGTCACTTATAATAACCTCATATACATTATCCGTGGTGTTTATGACTTCAGGATTATCCAAGTTTGCTGATTTCTTGGCTTCCAGCTTCTGGTTTAGCTTTTCCTGCAGTTAACCGATGAATTTTACTAAAAATATACTTCAAAAGTAGAAACATTCCTTACCTTGATGATTACTGTAGGTGATTTTTCTAAATGCAGAGTGATGCTGTTCTCAAAAGCAATTTCCTTCAGCACTTTCAGCTTAGTTTCTGGGCTGGGCTGTCTTGTTGAAAACTTTTGGATCATCTGTAACATGGAAGTTGTGGTTAGTAAGTGATATGTGCAGGCAACTAATTCTGTTCTTGCAGTTAATATCAACCTCACCTTAGCAGTGGGCTTAGGCCTGTATTACACATGGTATCAGAGCTAGGCACCGAGTGGTGTGCCAGCGAGGACGCTAGGTCTCGAAGGGGGTGGATTGTGAGATCCCATGTCAAAAGGAAAAGGCCAAAGAGGATAATATTTGCTAGCAGTGGACTTTAGCTATTAACTCTCCCAAATTTCAACTTTGAAATCCGACGAATCTCCTGAAGTTCTGGAAACTCTCTGCACCTTGAAGCCTCAAGGATCAGACTCGATACTGCCTCCTTCACTTCACCAGGGCATCCCCTCAATCAAGCTTAGCATGCAAATTATACTCATACGAAGACAGGAAAGAAGCTGAGCTGATAGAGCATAGAGATAGATAAACAAATTACTCTAAGCTGAGCGCGTTGTTGGAAAGCAAGGTTGAAGAGCTGAAGAACGTCAGGCTGGGCAAGAGAGCAGCGAGATTGGTGCTGATTCTTGAGGATGGCAGTCCTAGAAATGGCCATATTAGCAAGGGCCTTGAACTTGGAAGGCTTCAAATATCTATTCCTTCCCAGTAGAGTATCCAGTTTCCTTCCCACGATTGAAGAAACTCAATTGAAGATTCTTTTTTGCTGCCTGTTTTTCTGTGAGAAGCTCTTGAATGAGGTACTGTTTTGCTGTTGGTTGCTGCATTTCATATATTTTTATAGGGAAAATGATGAACCTGTTTACCATTTTTACAGATTCTCATATGTTTTTGTTCTTTCTTTTTAGCAGTTGAGAGAAGACTTGTCTCCCTTTTTTTGACTTTGAAATATTCTTTGATGGGTGAAATTTCCAGGTTTTGAATCGGCCAAGGAGAATTGATGAATGATGGGTGGCTTTGGTTTGGAAATGGGGAGCTTCCAAGGTATTGTGTCCACTTCTTGTCATTATTTTTCAATCTAATAGTTCCCCATATCACCCTTAAATAATGTATTTAAAGGGCCCAAATGGATTGGGCTATGGGCTAAGTTGAAGCATTGGCGTTGAGACGCCCTAAGAGTGTCTCAAACCCTTCTTCTAGGGTCCTCATGCCAAATCTTCAATTCTCTAAAATTAGTCTCCAAAATATGCTTCTTTTTTAAGCTCCAAATACATTCTTAGACTCTCTTGAACATCATATGAAGCTGCTATTAGTTGTGTGATAACATCATAGGGTTACTATGAAGTTTCTGTTAAGAATCACGAACCTCTACACAATAGTATGATATTGTCCACTTGGAGTACAAGTCTTCATGGCTTTGCATTTGATTTTTTCAAAAGACCTCATACCAATGGAGATAATGTTCCTTACTTTCAAATTCATGATTTACCCCTCAATTAGCTGATGTGAGACTACTCTTCCCAATAATCCTCAACAATCCTTCCCTCGAACAAAGTACACCATAAAGCTTTCTCTGAGGCCTCATTCTCTTGGAGCCTTCGAACAAAGCACATCCTTTGTTCGATACTTAAGTCG